GGCTGGGTGCTGGCAGGCTTGCACCTGGCACGGGCACCGTAGCCAGACCGTGCCCCTTTAAGGGCTCCGGGGCCGAGAGGGGGGCAGAAGAGTTTTCCTGGTGGTGCCCAGAGTGGCCACCAGGGAAAGCTGGGGAGGGCTAGCCTCCCACTAGTTCGAATTAAGTGGCTACACAGACCTTAATTCGAACTAGTTAATTCGAACTAGGCATTAGTCCTCGTAGAATGAGGTTTACCTAGTTCGAATTAAGCGCTCCGCTAGTTCGAATTAAGTTCGAACTAGCGGTTTGCATGTGTAGCGCCTAGCAAAGTTAATTCGAACTAACGGTTGTTAGTTCGAATTAACTTTGTAGTGTAGACATACCCTTGGTTAGGTCCAATAAGGGTTAGGTCCAATAAGCACATGTCACCTTTGATGTTCAATATAAAACCTTTGCAGGACTTTTAACTCATACTTAGGAAATGACCAATAGTGTTATCAGAATTAGTTTGTACTTTCCAGTTTGGGCACAATCAACACCTCCTTTTTCTTCTCCTCAGGGTACTTGTGTCCAATTTCTTCTTGCACATGCTAAATTTAGCAGACACATAAGAAATGGTTTCTTTTATGACACTTGTTTCATATTAATTCTATATGCTACACATTAACCTTTACCATGTGAATCCTCATAATAAATAGTTCTGGGTTAACTCTACTGGAAGTCAAAGGAGAAATACAGAGATACAGACTTTAATGCTAGGTGTCATTTGTAGCATAAAGTTCCAGAATTAAAAAAAGTTGTATTTCTCATTTTTATCATTGTCTCTATACAACAGATTGTAAAACAAAATGCTTAATAAGTCAATTAAACTATATACAGATCATCTACTTAGTATCTTTTTATCTTTCATTTAAATACAGTAAAGGAAGCCATGAATCCTATCAAGTTTAATAGATGGGGTCTTCCTGAAGTGGACCCAGAGACCATGCAAACCAGTGAACCGTGGGTTTTTTTAGGTGGTGACATTGGAGGTCTAGCTAATACTACAGTGGAATCTGTGAATGATGGAAAACAAGCTTCCTGGTATATGCACAAATACGTACAGGTGGGTCTTTAAAAGTAGTTTTCATTTTTTTGCTGCAACTTAACTTATCTTGCTGTAATAATATCTGTTTTTAAACACACATGTATTGGCTTGCTTTTTTCTGCTTATTGAAATAATTGCCATGGATTTCTAGAATGAAATATGTAGTTTTGAGTAATGGGCACCTTGATACTCTGGGGACTGATGCTTTAAATTTTTTTTTTTTTAGATCAGTGGTCATCAGACATTTTTGATTGCTCCCCTCTTTTTTGGTAATTGTTTATGCCTTCCCCTCTCACCACTCAAATACATATACTGATAAAAAAGTCAACATTCAGAATTCATTAAATATTAAAAATAGTAAGGCAGTGTTTCAAACAGAGCCAGTGATCCAACGTAATAAGAGCAAATGCAAATCTGATCATGGTTGATACTAACAATTAAATGTGCACTCCACATGGTAGCAAAATGGATTAACATACACATGGCAATGACTTTGTATAATGCTATGCAAGCTTAACAGAAATCTGTCAAATTGCACAGCGCCGTCTGAAGTTAGGAGGAATTTGTTTTGTTAGTAATTTATTACTTTGAGTGCAGTAAGATCCCCCCCCCCGCCCCCCCAAGATTTTCAGCTTTCCTCATCAAACACACAGAATACCTTCCACTTCTGCCATGGTCTCACCTTCCAGTTTCAGAACCACTGAATTAAATAAGTGCATAATAACATTACACAACTGTAAGGGTATACTAACAAAAATGGCATTGGTATATTGAAACTCGAATTTTAGAAAAATGTGTAAATCTTGACCACTTTCTTCTTGTCTCCAGTTCAGAGTTTCAGCAAGGCTTCTGGTCTGCTATGGCTTCTTGCACATCATTCAATATATGCAGAAATGGGGAGGGGGAAGACCATCAATATTACAAAGAACCTCATGAATAGCACTGAAAATATAAATTAAATATTGTTACTGTTGTTACCTGAGGAAGACACTATTATTTACAAAGTGGGGTCTACCAAGGCTTGACAAAACTTGCATACACACACACCAACAAGAGATTGCTGTCCAGCTCAGACGAATCTGATAATGAGGCCACAAATAAAAAAGCTAATTCATGGAGAAAAACCATGCAAAGAAGGTCGATTTAATGGGTTTAAACTTAAGCAACCAGTTGACTAAGCATTTCCCCTTTGTGTACTGTAGAGATGATGGAGACTGAAAGCTATGGTCTGTTCTTCTCTCCCCCTGCTTTAATGTAATAACAGGCTAGTAGCAAGCTATAGGCTTAACTCAGGTGCAGAGGGACCATAATAGACCAGAGACCTTGGCCTTTTTATGGAAAGGCATTTGAAAAAAAAATGTCTGTAATATGAGGAATTCTTTGGAATAAAGAGAGAAGACAGTGCTTTCCAACAAAAATGGATTTGAACAAATTAGGGAGTAGCAGTGCAATTCCTTTGTCTTTTTGCCCCTCCCCCATCACACTGTGTTTGTGCAGCTTTATATTGTGGCTTCATGAAAATACTGTGTGGCTGAAAACTTGTTCTCGCTATTAGTACACATTTTTCTCTCGCTTACTCTGAAGCAGGTTTTGTAATCTGTATTTTTAGACACCATCCCAACACTTAGTGTTAAACATTCTTTCTAAGCTTTGATGTGTGAGTACATTTGTTTTGGAAATTCTCATGGAGGCATCTCTGCCCTCTCTCCTTATTCCCTCTCAAACTTCTCATGAAAACATATGTCCCTCAGAAAATCTCTTATACTGCTGCATTCCCATGGAAGAACATTTTTTCTTACACTAAAATTTTCAGTGTATTGGCATATAACAAGCATTTTAAAGGGAGTCTGAAAAGTTGGGACCTGAGAATTTAGAATTTTAAATCAAACAGATTTGATATTAGAGTGCTTCAGTTACCCTTTGCAGGTTTTGAGGCAGCTTATTCGACCTTACAGTCTCACCAGGAAGCTAATGGGAAAGCCTTGCAGCAATCTTCACAGGAAAGTTTCCAAATGTCAAGTGTCATCTTTCCAGCTGCTAGATGAATGGGTAGCCAAGAGGCATTTATTTGGATGTACAATCCCTGTAAAATCTGGCTGCCATGGTGGGGAAGACTATAATTTGGCGCTTACCTTACCAGTATTTGTACCAGCTGTAATCTTAATAACAGAATGAGGGACTTCATTTTTAGGGCAATTGTGATTTAGAGTGAGATGACAGTATTCTAATATTTATACGACTACCACATGTCACTGAGTAAATTTGTGCACACATACATACATATATAAGTGTTTCTTAGTGTTGAATAAACTGTTGAATCCTCACCAGCTTCAATGAAAATACCCTCATGAAATATATTGACTTTCTCTCACCTACAGGATTGTAAGGCTGACAATTTCTTCAGTCTTAGTGTTTGATTTAATAAAAAGGCTCATTTTAGGTTTCAGCCGTTCTGTGTACATTGTGTCTATTTATATTTATAAAAATAATTGCCCATTTCCAAGCCATTGACTATACTACCACCAGTAAATAAATAAATAAATATAGCATGCAGTCAGCGTTTGGCGGCATCAAAAGACCATTCCAAAATAATCCAAACAATTCTAGACCACAATGAAAAGTGAAATTAAAAACAGCATCCCAGTTAATTGCTTGTCGTTTCCTTTAAACAGCATACTTCTCATCTCTCAGCCTAGTTGGGGCAAAAGGCTGAGCAAACAGATGGGCCTTACATGTGCCCTGAAGCTCAAATCATTCAAACTCTGGCATGCATTCAAGAGAAGTGTGATTTCCAGAGTCAAGAGCTCTCCAAAGGGAACGCCTTATGTTCAAAACTAGGAATTATTTACAGAAGCATCTTGGCTGATCTCACACTGGACATTCTATCACTAACAAACCAAACATTCCTTGCTTCTCAGCATTCTTCCACCAGCTTGCCGAGCACAGGCTTGGCTGAACTCTGTATCTTTATAGCCTCTGTAAACAAGAGCAGCCAAAACCCAGCTAACGATGAAAATACTTTTTTTTTCCTTCCTGGTCTGACTGTTCAATTAGAACTTTACTGTACATTCTAAGCCAGTGGTCCCCAACACGGTGCCCGCGGGTGCCATGGCGCCTGCCAGGGCATTTGTGTGGTCCTGCCGACAACCCGGGCTGGCCCCGCCCCCCGGCGCACGGCGCCCTGGAGGCGCCAGCCCCAGATGTGTGACACGCACCGGCGCCTGGGGCGCGGTGCGCGGGCGGCTCCAGCCCTGGGGCACATGCTGGCGCCGGGTGCAAGGGCATCCCCGCTCCTGGAGTGCCCCAGGATACGTGGTCCCGCCTCCGGGTGTCCGGCGCATGAGTGGCCCCATCCTCCTGGGCGCCCGGTGTGTGAGTGGCCCCGCCCCCGGGCGCCCGGGAGCCTGTAAAGGTTGGGGATCACTGTTCTAAGCAGTAGTGGTGTAATTCAAACATAATAGAAGATAAAGATCCAAGCCGAAGCAACCCAATTCACTGCGCTGCTCGGACTTTATTCTCAGATCTAATTTTTGTTGGCTATGCCATGAACATGTAATGGTTTCCGTGTTTAATTTTGCTAATTTATTTAGGACTTAATTATACTTAAAATGCTGCAGTGGATTAGTAAGGATGTTACCTACGTGGATAGGAGAGCTTCTCCTATCAGCATAGGTAGCTCTGCCAGTGGAAGAAGCCTTGACATCAACACAGTGCTGTGTACCCCAGGAGTTAGGTTGGCATAACTTTCACTCAGGGGAGTGAAGTTTTCACAACCTGCAGTGATGTAGTTATACTGCCATAAGGTCGTAGTGTAGACCAGGACTTAGTTTGGATAAGGTATTTGTTCACCACTTTGCCTAACTTTAAGAGCAACAGCATTAACTGTTATTTCCTACAACCACTATTCCAATCCTTGAGGCAGAAGACGTGATATCTCTGCAAGGCATGTAGAGCAAGAGTGCAGAATTGATCAGCATTTTAATTTCCCATTCTTGCCCTTGGTGCCCTGTGAAGTTCTTAATTCTTATGGTGTTCTCCACTCCCCCTTTGCTTGACCAATTGCACCATCCTTGAGGCAGAATTTGTCATCTGCTCACACTCCCATTTCTCTGTCTCTTTCATGCAGCTCCTTGCACTTGGAATGCCCTTCCTGCATCTATTTCAAGTCACTGTTCTCTGCTTATTAAAATCCCACTTAAAGATTCACTCCCTTTGCATTGATCACAATGAGTCTATAATTACTAATAAGTATTTTAAAATTTGTGTTTTCCTTCCTCTGAAACACTCCTTGTGTCCTTGTGTCCTCTGCCTATTAGAGCAGACTTTGAGCTACTTTGTGCACTTAATAAATCATAATGGGCCAAATCCTCACCTGATGTAAATTGCAGTTCCTTGAGGATCTGGCCCAATACCAGTGTAAGGATACTGGTACTGTCCTATTTAAAGCAGCTCTCCCTCCACTTTCCATGCAATATATAAATCAAGAATGTGAATTTTACATCAGATGAGCCTGGACTTTATTTCTTTTATGGAGACTGGCCATTTCCTCAGACTTGTGTTTGAAGCTGTTGGCCATGCTGGCTGCCATAATGAGAGAACAATTAACTGCTCCCTTTGTTTAATGTTAGCTGAAACATTGAAAAATGTTGCCCTGGTGACTAACATGTCACCACCCAAAGACTAAATCGAATACAAAGAAAGTAGCTGGGGAGCTTTTTGATGCATTTCTACATGTGTATGTGAGTCAGAAAAAAAACAGCAAGCAGGTAGAAAAAAGCAAAAAGGCAGCAAGACTGCTAGAAAAGATATGGGAGTGTGGCCCTGAGAGAGAGTTTTCCAGTGGCGCTGGCTGTCTTGGACTGTGAGTGAAAATCCTGTCATTGATTCCTTCTGTGTGTAGGAAAATAAGATTTTGAACATACTTTGTAAATAACTAAGATTACTCTGAAGTGATACCTGATTCCATCATCAATTTTGCCTCTTAAAGGAAATAACCTCCAAAACCTCAAACATTGGGT